AGAATGGTACTTGGTGCAAATAGGGTTTCATTTTTCCCCTCTTTTTTAAAGCATTTATTGGCATGCTTTAAAAATTTAAATAATTCTTAATTTCAATTAAAAAACACATATTTTAACTTTTATCCATTTATCAATTTTTAGAATTTTTTTTTATGAGATCTTGAGAAAAATGTTAATTTTGATTCACCTACATTAAATAAAATAACTTCATGGAATCAGAAAATCTAAAATACTAAACAAATAGAGATAAAAATAAACAGCAAATAGATTTGCCTGATACATATCAAAAGCGACAGCTAATTAGGGGTTCGGGGATTTAGATAGTTGCTCAGCTCTGTGTATCTCCAAGTTCTATTAAAAAAATTAAAAGCTTATTTAAATTCTATTCTAACTTATTTCTAATGATTTTCTGACCTGAAATTTCTAAATGTAATGAGAAAATGTCTTTGTCTAATATTGAATAAAAAATACAAAAAAAAAAAAAAAAAATGCTATTTTTATTAAAATTACAACAGTACAACAATACCGCTGTATAGCTGTTTCTAATAGATTACAAAGGGACATTATATATTTAGGAAACCTGAAATTACTAACAAATAATTATCTAAAATTAGTCACAGGCTGCATTTTTTAAAAATAAAAGTTTTAAATAGATCCTTTTCAGAACCAACAATCTTATGACAAGAAAATAAATATTAATAAAATAGAACAGATTTAACTGAATTTAATGATTTCAGTTTATGCGTGTTTTATATCTATGAATCTCAAAGAAATTGCCTTGAATTAAGATGAATTACAGAAATATATCTATGTAAATTTTTGCATACGTCTTTCCACATGTTCAATTATGTAAATATTTTACTTATTTTTATCGCTATATTGCCCAGAATTTTGTAAGCTTATGCAAACAATTTTTAATAAAAGAATAGTTTATCTTGATCAAATGCACAAATTATATTCGTAACAGCTCACAAAACTTAAAAATTAATAATTAATACATAACGAAAAGCATTACTTTATTTAGCACCTTTACAATTCATAAAAATACTAACAACTGATTTCTTACTTTTCATGAAAATTATAAAAGCAATTACCTAAAACGTTCAAATTATATAGTTTAAATCCTGGCATATATCATTGTATGTTAAGAAACGAAGATACCAGCTATAAACAGGAACATTAAAAATGTATTTAACATAGTTTGATTATTATTAAGTACTTTTTTTTCAAATCTGAAAAGAAATTAACATGACATTGTGATATTTTTCAACATATTTATCGAATTACATAAAAAAAAATCAACACTCACGCGTGAAAAGTAATTGCACTTTATTTTAACTTAAGTTAAAATAAAGTGCAATGAAAAGTGTAAATACCAAATAAGCGAAATTATCACTAAATGAAAATTTACACTTTTCATTGCACTTTATTTAACTATTTTCATTTAGTGATAATTTCGCTTATTTGGTATTTACACTTTTCATTGCCACTTTATTTTAACTTATGTTAAAAAATTTTTCACCTATATAAATATACAAATTCATAAATATATAATAATATATTATATATATATATTTATTTAAGCCAATATATAAATTCATATGTATCTTGGTTACCATATATTTTGTTTATTCATATGTAAATTTTTATTAAAAATTTCTACTTTTTTACAAGTTTACCTAGAATATATCGACTTTAAGTTGGTGGTAAAAATTTTATACGTTATGATTCAAAAATGTTTTTTAAAAAATTATAAAAATTACCCAAATTTACAAATTTATTATATTTATAAGAGCTCACAAAAGTTTAAAATTAATAATAATTAATACATAACGAAAAGCATTACTTTATTTAACACCTTTACAAAATTAACAAATCTAAAAAACAAATCAAGTATCTGAGAAGTTTATTTGGATTGAAAATAAATTTTGAACTGTGAAAGAAGAAATGAAGTAACTTTAATAAAAAAAAGAGAGAATTAAACCAAACTCAATTAAGGCTGAAGAGCTAAAATTTTGAAAGTCGCATTTTTAAAGACTACTTGTGCGAGTTTTACAAAACTTGTCCCCCCTGTCATAAATTGAGTTATAGAATTGAAATATGAAAAAATATCCATATGCCATTTCAGAAAAGGTTCCATTTTGTGCCGAAATACTTATGTTTGAATGATTCTGTATATTAATCGAATATAATATATTAGTCTCTCTTCTGACACATAAAAAACACAAGTTAATTCCTTCATTCTTCTTGGTAGAACGGGAGAAGTAGAACTGTCTTTTCGTTGCTGTTGTTGTTGTTCAAAGTGTACATAAGGCTTAAATGTTTTCTCAATTTTTTTCAAACTTTGTTTGGTAACCTTAAAAATCACACATGCGTTATAATAAATCACATTTCTTTATTGCATTGTTAAATCAATTTTATTAAAGAAAGAACTACATATATCATGTAAAATTATAACAGATTATTACCTCATGAAATCTCATTCCCTGAAATCAAAATATGTAATTAAAAACTTTTAATTATAATTCAACAAAATTGATAAATAAAATAAATTAGACAAAAAATGATCTTTTCCTGGTACGTCGTCAAACGACGCCTTTCTGTCACATTTTTGATGAAAATTAGTGTTCTCTTTTCAATAAATGGTTCAACAAGGGCTAGAAATTAATCGAACTGACAAAGTGTCAAGCAAAAGTAATTAAGATATTTTCGACATCGTTCAAGCTCATCGCCTCAATTAAATTACTTGCATACCATTGATGGAATTGTATGTCACTACCTTTTATTTATCTTTACACGTAAAGTAAGAGGTAAAATATGTTTTTAACTAAGAGATACTGGATCCATTTGAATTTTAAAATGTAACCCTAGGAAGACAAATGCCACACAAAAATGCATGTTTTTCTTTAAGTTTTCGATATGAAGAGCCATCTAGTGTGAGCGGCATATTAACAAAGCCTACAGACCGGTTCTGCTGCTGATTGCTCCGATTAGTTAAAGCAGGAAACGTAGGCTTACAGAATCTTGTGATTGGCGACTTTTGCTTCATCGCCTTTACTTTTTGTATATGAGCGTGCTGTACCGAAAAGTGTTTGAGAGTCAACGGAGAAACCGCAGTTCAACGGTAACGAGCACAGATGAAATTCTCGGACTTCTAGATCGCCGGTTTTATCCCCACTCATGACTTTTAAAAACTCTGTCCTACACCGATTTCTTTTTATCCTGACTTTATTGAATGACTTTTTAATTACTGGTCTTTTCCCCTTCGGGTGCGGTGTTAAAAATTTAACACCTTTATTTTCTCAATTTTTGTTAATGCTAATTTTTCTTACTTTTATTTACTGGTTTATACTCTTTATAGTAGGTACTAGTAGCAAGATTACGATTGGAGATCCCGAGAAGCATTACAATAGAAATAGCGCATAATGGAATAAAATATAATTCTAGTTATACTTACTCATAATTGAAGTAAAAAGAATAAGTATCCAACGCCTTTAAATGTTTTCCTTGAATTGTTCCTCTGAAATTGAATGTTTTCACTTGGGTTATTTCTTTAATATTCCTTACTTTTAGCAGTTTAAATTCATTCTTTAACCAAATACAAATAAACTATAAGATTGGTAGGTTATTTAAAATATATTCCACACAATTCTCCTTAGCTTTCATTCATAAAATAAAAAATTATTGAATGAAATAAACGCTGTTTCTCCTCGCTTTACTGAAAGCCCACAAGGTATGTTTGGAGTTAATTACCAAGCCCAAAAGATATAATTAAGATACAATAACACCCACAAGATATGTTTGACGTTAATTACCAAGCCTACAGGCCTAACTCGCCATTCCAAGTATAACCGCCAAAGCAGATGTTTCATCCAGTGAGAGCAGACCGTAGAGGTCGATAAGCTTTGTGATTATCAGTGTGAGCGTACAAAAGACAAAAGCGTTTAATACGAAAGTTTCCGCTTGGTGTGAACTGACGCACAGGGAAAGCGTTTTGTTCCCCGTTTCCATTTTTTTGTGAAAATAGACTAATGTGAACGCAGATTAAACACCTATATTCACTAACTTCTCTATTTAATTAACAAAAAAAAAAAAAAAATGTTTATAATTCAAGACAGAAGAGAAATATGTCAATGTAAAACATCCAATTAGGCAAAGCATTTCTTTATTTGTAATGACAAGCACTAGCCTTTGTAGGCGTTGGCCACTACTAAGGAAGTGGTGGTCACTTTATTACGGAGACACCCTTGTCTCCTAACAGGCGGGCCACTTTTGTCTCCTAGAAAGGGTCATACTTGATTCACATCCATGACTTCTCCAAGAATCGAACCCGGCTTCCTTCGGCATGGCAGGCAGTCACTAACTACTTTCCCATATGGGCGGCATTAGGCAAAGCAACAACCTTGTGTTTGAAGTGGATTTTAACCCAGAATCAGTCTTTGGTTAAAATAAACACCAAACACGAGTTTGTTACTTTGCCTAATTGTTTATTTACATTTTTTTAAATAGAAAGAACTGCTGCGCGCTGAGGCCATTCTGTACTATCCGAAATCTCCCTTCAGGTATTTTTAAGATCTATGTAATACTAATAAATGTTCAAAATGTAATTCAGCAATTCTAAATCACTTTTGCGGTTCACCTTTCGAGAGGTTTCTGAGCTTAGGAAAATACCTTCGCGTCTTTACCTAAATTAATAATGAACCGATTAATTTTTACTGTAAAATCTCACATATATATATATATATATTTCCAAGCGAACTCTTCTATTTTTATAGCTCAAGCAATACATGATTTTATCGTTCTCCAATAAGTTCCCAATAAGAAATAAATAAATAATAAGAATAAGAAACTCAATAAGAAACTTTTGGCTTTTTGTCGGGTATTAAAATTAAGATTTTATTTTCCCGCTTAAACGGTGCTAAGAGCAATGCCAACATATCCTTCAAACAAGGTCTTTCCTGTTATTAAGTTTTTCATAATGAAATGAAGTAAAGCTTTCTTATACGTCAGTCGCTAAGTTTTTGTTTAATGTTTATTTTCCATAGCGATAATTTTAACAATATAGCACCAAGCGTTATATTTAATTGTGTCAGAAATTTGATTTTAGTTCTGAAATTTGTATGATTTATGACGTAGTAAATGCATGCATTAGATTACTTTCTAGGTAAGTTGACAGTGCTGTCAAAGTGTCGGCATTTCCAAAACATGTATTTTCTATAAGGCGGTTGTTCTTCTTTGATCGTTTATTGTTGTATTTTTATTAATGTTATTTACTTTGGTTATTCATTTGCAGAAATGGAATATTTTATCTCATTTTATTTCTGTACTAATTCAGTTTAGATAGTGTTGCTGATGGTAGATAAATTTGTTATAATATATTTAAAGGATTAAAATTAAGAAAAATGCCGATTTCTTAGTTGAAAATTTAAATGTATCGAAATTTAAAGATAAATAAATGACTAAATGTATGTTGTCATAAAATAATTACTGTAGCATGCATTCATTATAAGTCTAAAATTTATTTTTAAAATGCGAACTGTTGGTAGTGTTTGCGTGGACTTATTTTAAAAATAATGATTTAAAAAGAAAGTCCACTACTTAAAAAATGTTAGTTTCTTACCATTATTATGTTACAAATTAAAAATCGAAATAAAGCTGTGGTTTAATATTATTTCGTGACTTAACGTTTATCATTTGTCAGTGGTTTTATTCAGTTTTGACAGTGGTATAAGTCGTCTATGCATTCATACTAATGTTCAAAAGAAAGGATTATATTTAAAGTATTCAGATGCCGTAAATTCTAGTTTTATTCTCTTTTACATTTCCATACTCTAAATTATTTGTACTTCTGTAAATTTAACAGACATACACACATATTTACATACATACCTACATTTCTGAATCCAGTCCTGATAACAGAAAAGTACTATATTATTTTATTAAAATTAGAAAAACTAAACTTTTGGGTAATCTTCAGTTATCAACACCAGAGTGAATGTTCCAGGAACAAGAACTTTTTACAGATTTTACTGGAATCTTAATAGGACTCTAAAAATGTGCAATTGTTTTAAAGAATATAGTGCTTAAAATTGTCATTCAATTAAAAATTTTATGAGGTATAATTTTTTAATTGTTCAAAAGTTAAATTTAGTTTCAAAAGATAATTTTATTTATTCTCTCATATTTTGCTGCCATAATGCTTTTTCTCTCAAAAAGGCTTCTCTATTGCTCTGCCTTTTTCTCTTTGAAAGAGGGGGGGAATGTGTAAGATGCTAAAATATTGTAGCAAACTTCTAATTTTAATTGGCTATAACCTCTTTTATTTGTAATTTAATTTGAGTACTTTCTCAGTCTATCTTAAAAATAGTGCTATAAGTCTAAACTGCATCATTCAAATTAATTATGTGATCCTACGTAATGCTTAACGTAGATACCTCTTTTCAATCACTAAATACAGTACGGAATCCATGATCCAGACTCATTGGGACTTCCGCGATTCCGGATGTATATTAGATCATCCGTTTAAATCTAGAATTATAAAAATATGAAATTGTGATTTACAAAACAATGAAGCATTTATGATCTAAAGGTTATTAAAATTCACAAAAAAAAGTGTGGTTGATCTTTGGATTGTGGTAACTTGGCGATTTTGTGGCGAAAATTTGGCGACCAACTCTGCTACACCAACACTCTATTTTTTCTTCGCCGCCATTTTCTCTTCACGAAGTGAAGACATGTTTCTTTTTATTTACTGAACACTTTTTCCAACAATCTACTAGCCGAATTACACTTATGCTAGAAATTTTATGTAACAAAACTGCTTAATCATGGCAAATTAACTGCAAAATAGGGAAAAAGTGCACAATCGCAAACACCTTGCGCGTTTTTCAGAATAGCTCATACACATAAACCATGTACACGTCGACTTATTTTTACTTAAAAAAATCCAGAATTGCACAAAATGGCATTGCGCACACTCTTCACTATTCCATGAACACTGCTTTTTTCTCATAAATTAACTCATAAATTAGAAATTTCACGAAAATGCATGAAAATTTTGTGAATCTTTAAACCCGGTAAAAAGAACATATATGAAATTACCTGATCACAAAAAAGTATATACCCTTTCCAAAGATGAACATTTCCACGTATAAAATAAATAAAATATCCAAAAACTTTTACCTCTAAATTATCTATTATATTATAATACCAAATTCCTACAAACATAAAATTCACAAAATAACTATCATTTAATTAAAATAACACTAAACCATGTACACGTCGACTTATTTTTACTTAAAAAAATCCCAGAATTGCACAAAAATGGCATTGCGCACACTCTTCACTATATCCATGTACACTGCTTTTTTCTCATAAATTAGAAAAATTTCACAAAAATGCATGACAAATTTCTGAATCTTTAAATCCGGTAAAAAGAACATATATGAAATTAGATCGCGAAAAAGTATATACCCTTTCCAAAGATGAACATTTCCACATATAAAATAAATAAAATATCCAAAAACTTTTACCTCTAAATTATCTGTTATATTATAAATGTCACCAACTAATTCATACCGCTAACATTACAATGGTTACAAATACTTACTGTCAAATATTTAAATTATTTCCATGCACGTTTACTTCCACTTCAACGTATACCAATTCCTCACAATAATTCACAAAATAACTATCATTAATTAAATATAATTAAATTCAAAAACTACTTACTACTTAAAACAAATAAGCACATACATTAAATTAATAAAAATTAGCTTACATCCTAATTACTTTTAAATCATTGCTAATAACAATTTCCAATAATACCATATTACTTTATTACTCCTACATTTAGAACAATGCATACAAATAATATCCTCAAATAATAAAATACTAACTTACCTAATCTTCTTCAGAATCTTGATTACGTGGCAGATACACTTTTCTTATTTCCTCCTCCCTAAATAGAAAGCATCGTATGTGTGTGTTTCAGGATCATAAATCATACTTATATTCACGGGAAATGTAGAAACCTTATCCTCCAAACAGACTTAATAACTTAATAAGCACTCTTTACTTCTATCTCGCCACAACCTTAAAAAAACACTATACTACCCTTTCAATCCACTAAATACCCATTTCAAATCACTTTAGATACGGCCATGGGATCCAAAATTAACCACACCGTTTCACACAACACAATAAAGCTAAATACAAAATTTCCAGATTTCCCCCTTTTTCCGATTAAAGAACTGTAATTCGTCCATTAATGTCACATGACATATCTCATGATCTCCCATTTCTCTCACACAAAATAATGCTTAATCGGAACTGAGAAGTACTCAGTTACCAAAGTCCTAGGTAGTAACAAAGTAGTAACTAAACTAAGTAGTAGTAACCAAAGTAGTCCTGGGTAGTATTACCAAAGTCCTAGGTAGTAACCTTTATCGCCTCCAAAATGTCGTCAAACTACCAGTTACCATATTCCAAAGATCAGCCAAAAGTGTAATACAGTACAAAGTCCGTAATCTGTACTCTTTGGGACTTCAGCGATTCTGGATTATAGATCATCAATTTAAATCTGGTCAGATGGCATGCAGAAATTATATAATTAAAAATATGAAACCGAAATTTATGAAATAAAGAGCAATTATGATTAAGCAATTATGATCTAAAGGGTATCAAAATTTACAAAAATAAGCTTAATATTTATTTGTTTACTTTATTAAACATTTCTTTCAATGTAAGTTGTTTAAGTTGCTTCGTTTTTTTTTTTTTTTTTGTGCTAATACTTTCTCTTTAATTATATAAACAGACATAATTTCTTGTTCAGTTACAAAGTTCCACTGTTCAAGTCCTGTAATTGCTGTGTCGAGAATACCGACTAAGTTGTTAATCAAAATTTTTTCATTTTCTATAACCTCTCTGTCACTTTCTTCACTATTGGAAGTGGTATTTTCTGGATCTAGAGCCATACTACAGATTTTGCCATCCGTTAATTGATTGATGATTGGGGCATTGTCGTTGCGGGGAAAGTGCAGAATCGCCCACTGCTTGGCGCGTGTATAAGAATTGCACATACTCTGTATCCATGTACAAATCAACCTATTTTCACTTTAAAAAAATCCCAGAATTGCACAAAAATGGCATTGCGCTCTCCCTTGACTTTATCCATGTACACATCGACCTATTTTCACTTAAAAAGTCAAACGAAAATTGACAAAAATCCAATTTTTTCTTACTCTTCTAAAAGCGCCAATCAAATAAGTGGGTGATTCTGCACTTTCGTGGTCATTGCAATGAAAAACTCGTTGACTTTACATTATGGTAACTTGGCGTTTTTTTGGCGACAATTGCGACCACTCTCCTACAACAACCCTTATTTTTTTTCCCGCCGCCTTTTGGCTTCACGAGTAAACATGTTTCTTTTCTTTTATCTACTAACACTTCTTCCACAATCTACTAGCCGAATCACACTTATGCTAAAAATTTTATCTAACAAACTGCTTAATCATGACAATATTCACTCAAAATTGGAAAAAGTGCACACTACCATACACTCCTTACGCGTTTTTCAAAATAACACTACACATAAACCATGTACACGCCGACTTATTTTTACTTAAAAACATCCCAGAATGCACAAAAATGGCATTGCACACACTCTTCACTATATCCATGTACACGGCTTTTTTCTCATAAATTAGAAAAAATTTCACGAAAATACTGATAATTTCTCAATCTTTAAACCCGGTAAAAAGAACATATATGAAATTACCTGATCGCGAAAAAGTATTTACCCTTTCCAAATATAAACATTTCCACATATAAAATAATAAAATATCCAAAAACTTTTACTCTAAATCATCTATTACATTATACAACGTCACCAACGAATTCATACCGCAAGCATTACAAATACTTAGTATCAATATTAAATTATTTCCATGCACGTTTACTTCAACTAAAACGTATACCAATTCCTAACACATAAAATTCACAAAATAACTATCATTTAATTAAAATATAATTAAATTCAAAACACTACTTAAAATATAAATGGCACCTACATTAAATTAATAATACTAAATACCATTCGAATTCACTTTAGTTACGGCCATGGGATCCAAAATTCACGAACACTGTTTCACACAACCACCAAAG